ATGTTAAAAAAAATATACATATATAGCTGCCATATAAATTATCGGTCGAAATTTAAGTTTTTGTATGAAAAACTTGTTTATCTATCCAGATATCTTAACCAAACTCGGCATTTATTAGCTTCACCATGCTTCTTACATTCTAGAAGGGTATTTAATCTTCGACGTGCCAAAAATAGTAAATATTTATTTTTTAATTCTATTCTCTATTCAAATTTAAAAATTTCTGATTATGGAGCGTATTAGGAAATCCTTAAGTGGTTTGTGTGTTTCGTAGATACGCAAATCAAAATCAAAATTCTCATTTAGGTTTCTTGCACTTTTATGCGGCTCATAAAATCTGCACGCGTCTGTTTGTCAGATTCCCGGGCAGCTAAACCAAAATATTTCATAACGCAGTTAATCCGCGCAATTAACTTGAATTATATATGCCTTATATCTGGCCAAAAGAGAATAGCTGTCAATAAGCCAAATCTTCAAGAGAGAGGCAAAGCGAGAGCGACAGAGAGAGAGAGAGAGCTGAACGGAACATGTGCCCATTCTCCGGCTATTTATAGGCGGAACTGAGTGCACGCCAGGCCAGAATGGAATGCATGTGTGTCGCCGAGCAGTGGGCATTCTCTGCGGGCCGCTGTTGTTGTCTCCGCTGAATGCGATGAACACTTCACAAGTGGTGGCCCATTGGAAGATCTGTCGCGTCGCTCAATTGTCGCTGGCTGGCGACAGTTGCCGAAAGCGCTTTGGTAGTAGCAAAAGACGCGTTGATCCCGCCAGAGGCGGCGGCCGAGAAAGATTTCTGCTAAAGTTGATTGCCACTTGGCAGCCATAAAAATATATACATTTGTGTATATGTCTCGTTAAACAATATAAATATATATATATATATATTCTCGAAGAGCAGCAACCGCAGAGGCTGAGGCAGCGGAGGGGTTATTGTTGTTGTTGTTGTCGTTGTTGTTGTTTTGGCTCAGTGCCGTGCGTGTTGGACTATTTTTGGCCATTGGGCGCATTGCTGGCAACTGACAACGACGTCTGACCATTTGGCGACCGCCGAGTGTCGGCATAATTAGTGTTTAGTAAAAATGAACAACTCGTTTACAAGTTGGAGGTGGCGCCAATAGGACTCAAAAGACTTATGCAAGCTGCTGCAGCAGTGGCTGTCGGACTGTAAATAATCTAGATCGGAGGCAACAACATGGACTGGTATCCAGAGGAGGATGAGGAGGACTTGATGTTCTCGCCGGCGCTGTTGGCGCGTCGCGCCAGCGAGAGCTGGATAGTCGAGCCGCCCGTTGAGGTGGTGTTGCATGCAACCAGTCGGGCATCCAAAACTGTTGCATAACTAAAATTCCAATTCTCTCTCCTTTACCCACAGACGGTGCCCATCAATGTGTCGCTGCAGCGCAAGAAGTCCATGCCAGACTTCCAGGAGCTGCCGCGCGCCACGGAGGCGATGAGTCGCGAGGAAGTCTCCGCCCTGGGCTCGGCCCGCCGCGAGGCTGTGCGTCGTCAAATCGAAGTCAACGAACGCCTCAGGGCGAATCCCTTGCTGTATTTGGTTAGTCCGCAAGTGAAGGTGAGTGTTCGAGTGGGCTTCAGCCTAGTCTAGCCACTAAATGCTTCTTCGTTTATTTCTTGACAGGATTGGCTGGTGCGACGACAGCTGATGCTGCTCGTGCTTATTGTCAATATGCTGCTGGCACTCCTATTTGTCAAGATGGTTACCTAGCGCCGGATGCGCCAGACCACACGGAATCGAAGCAAAACGACAACAGCAGACGGCACCAAAGCAATAAAACTTTCAAAGTTTTGGAATCATTGTGTCGCATGCTGCTAAGCGTCATGCAGTTTGCGAGGCATTGTTACGCGACTATGGTGAATTTGAAGCCGCCAACACGCTGTCTCTGCAGTTTGAAGACCACTGAGCGTGCAGTTTGATGTGCGGTTGGACGCTGTGTTTTGTGAATTTTGTGTGGTTGAGTTTTTTTTGTGGGGCGAAGGCTAACAATTTTTAGCATTTGCACTAAACAGATTTATATATATTTATATATACTAAAATATATATATATATTAAAAATACTATATATGTATATCCATATGTATGATAAACAAAAATCGAATTAAACACTAGACTGCAGCCAAATTAAAAATGAAAACAAATTTAAATTAAAAACGCCGAACTGCAATACACAAATCGTAGGAAATTTTTATATTTAAACAATAAATGGCTGTGCAGCCATTGCATTAACCAAATTTGTCAAGCCATTTGCTAGCCAACGCAATAGTTTGTATTTGTGGCTATTAAAGATCAACATAAATAGTTAAACAAAAACAAAAACTAAACTAAAAACTATACGCAAATCAATTTAACGAATTTTTCTACACATTTAAATGTAAAAGTACTATTCTACATATACATACATATATATATATATGTAAACAAAACACATTTATCAATATTTAAACCATGCATACACACAATTACTCATCACGATTTCATACACACACACACACACATATATATATATATATATAAATATATTTAAATTATGGCTATAATATGAGAAGCAAATTTTAGACAAATGCAAAATACAAAACCAAGAAAAACCTTATCCTATTTGCAATTGAAATTAAATTTAGTCAGCAAACTAATCAAAAGGCAATTACATAATACTTAAAAAAAAAAAAATTGTAATAATTGTGAACACGTATATTTGTATAATTAGCAAAATTGTGTGGGACCCAAATCGACAACAGCAAGAATATAAAAACAAAAAAAAACAGAACTTTTATAAAGAAAATTAACTTTAAGCGCCAGTTACGCGCTTTGTTTTGGGCGAGAAACAAAAAAGAATTTTGAAAATCAACTTAAAGTACGTAAACGTAATCATAAAAGCGAAATATTGAGATTGAGATTGTTGATGAATGAAGCTGTATATATAAATTATAAATTATTCATATAACTATAACATTTAATTTTTTCTCTCCATACAATTATAAACATATTTAATTTCATAGCTAAAATTATGCCATTTTTGAAATGTTTGCAATTTTACTGTTTTTAGTTCCATATCATTTCAAATATACTTTAATTATTATTTAATTTTTTAATTTGTTCTTTTTTATGCATATATTATTTAAAAAATAAAAAAAAACAAAAGCACACGCAAATGTGCGTAAAAGTATTTATTTTCTTGGTGTTACTTCTCTGATTTTCCTTATTAAAAATAATAAAAAGAAAAAAAAAATAAAAACTCTCAAGTGCAATTATATAAGCTGTAAAACTTTCTGCATTCTTCAGCTGCTAATGAATGTTCGGGATTGGCAAAATGTTTGACCTGCAAACAGAAAAAACCCTACAAATCGAAAGACTTTAAACTGAAAACTGTTGGCTGATGTTTATTTTGAATGGAAATTTCATTTGTCACGCATAGCTTGATGCTAGCAATTGGAAAATATAATGAATTAAAAAAACAACCGCGATAAACATATATATAAACATATATATATTGCATACATTGCATTAAACAAACAAAAATGAAGTAATTTATGTATATACATACGTATGCCTATATACTTATATCACATGTGCTAGCATAACCAAAGAAACAAGCTGGAAAATTATATATTATAATAAACGATCAAATCTTATTAAATGTTATCAGCAAAACATATATCAAAGAGTATGCATAATAAAATGAACTTTTTCAAAGCTATAATAAAAATCTTTAAAAGAAAATCGAAAATAGAATATGAAAAAAAGATTATTGATTTTGTTACTTTGGGTGGGCGACTAATTTATTTTTCCCGATATTACCCTTATTTATATTAAAAATGAACTGCAATATCTTCGTTAGAATGTTTGACATTGAAGTCACGCCGGATATTGTAAGTATTCGAAGCTGTCCCGATAATAGCAGCAGGCTGATCAAATTAATTGGAAACAACTTCCTTCTGGTTTTGGACGGCCATATCCTCAAGTAAATGGCTTCTAAAATAGATATCATAAATCTGGTTATTGACTATGGAAAAGTGCCCCAAAATTCGATGAGCTTTATATCAAAAGAGTAAACAATTTTGTATACGAAACGCTTTATTATCAATTTTGTTTAATGTTTTCTGTAGCAAAGGTTTGGGAGTACATTATTCGCGATATCTTGTTGATGTTTTGCATATTTTAGCCTTTTGCAACAATATGACGCACTACACATAATCATTTGTCTCACATATGTATCGTATGTATAAAAGATTTTAAGTAAGTTGCTAGCATATTGTAATATAAAGAGCTATATAATATTTTAATCGAAGAAGTTGGCCATTTGTTCAATAAACAAAACTAGTTTATATATTTATGTTTGCCTGTCTGGATGTATGCATGTGTATATAGTATGTTAAAAACATGGGTCAACCTAATAACACTTTGCTTGCACCTAAAACAATCAAACGCACTTCAAAAACAAATAAAATATAATTACAACAATGAAACCCGTTCAACTGGTTTTAAGCGCAAGCAAAGCGACAAATCGTGGTCTAAAAAAAAAATAAAAAGCAAAACAAGAAAGACAAAGGGAACGCCCACTGTATGATGTATGACACCTCATAACGCGCCCGGCTTCAGGGAAAACGATAGCTTTGGTCTTGAATTATTTTTGCCCAATATGACCTTTTGCTCTTCCTTGACACGTTTCTCCTGCTCTTTGCGCATACGTTGACGCTCCTCATCCATCAGACGCTGTTCCTCAATGATAGCTAAACGTTCTTCGGCCTATTTTATAGAATATAGATTTCATTAAGGACAATGAAAGATTAAAAGTAAACTATTTTATATTACCAATTTTCTTTGCGCCTCTTCGATTTTGCGATTATTTTCGGCCAAAATTTCTTCGAGCTCTTCGCGTTTTTGCTTTTCCTCCTCCTATAAAACCCAAATAAAATGGCGTATTAATAATTCAGATTTATGGCTTCATGGAATGCTTAAGTCTAGTTATATTTATAAAGAAACGGTTTCTTTATCATCGGTGACGCAAACTTTGCGGCGACTTTGGACGCAATTTTATCAGCTTTTTTTTTTAATTTTCGATGGGCTGCATAAATATGTATTAAAGATCTAATTTAATGTTTTACAATAAGTTACATAGAAGATATTGGTAGAAAGTAAAAAACATTTAGTAGTGTCTAAAAAAAAAAGTTTAAATAAGAGTTGGTATTTTTGCGAATTAAATTTTTAACAATAAGAGCACACAACATTAACAAATGTACGTTAACTTGATTTTTTTTTTAAATATGATATTCTTTTTTGTTTTTCTTTTATTTTTTTAATTTTCTCTTTCTTTTTTTTTTATTTTGATTTTGTTTTTGTTTTGTTTTGTTGCTACTTACTATTGAAATAGTTCATTTTTCCAGTTTAATGGCTAAATCATTTTGTTAATTTTTGGCTTTGCTGCGAATTTGCATTTTGATTTACGGTATTCAGCTACATAGTTGTTTAATCAGAATTACATTACATATTGTGTTTAGAAAACAAATAAAAAAGCGTTTCGATAAACGATAAATGTTTGAAGAACAAACATACATAAAATTAACATTTTGGCACGACAACAACAACAAGTACAGTCATACCCATTGACAAATGGTTTATCCGGCTTATGAGTTACGATAACAATCTTAAGTCTGATCAGCTTTGGTGTTCCTATGACGAATGTTCCTAGAGGGAGAGCTTAGAGTCCTTAGAGTCTATTTGATATTGTTTATGCTTTTGCATTGTTTTTCGTTGCATTTGAACGATTATTGTTCACACTTTAGACACTTCAGTTCGTTAATCCATTTTGTTGTTTCACACGTTTCGTATGCTTAAGGAACTCACTCACCCGTTTATTGGTATGGATAGGCCCCCTTACGGGATCTTTTGAGGCTTTTGGCATGCTGCGTACAGTTGGAACTAAGCTAAGCTAAGCTATGCTAAGCCCGCCCCAAAGCTTGGCCAAAATGTACTGGCTAACTGTACTAACTTTACGACTAGACAACTTTACGTACATATATAATATATATGTGCGTGATACGTATGTATGTGTGTGGTACATCTTGAATGTCTCCTAGAAAGCTGATGCTCTCATCCGTGTGGCCGAATTCTCTTCAAAGCTGGGTCCGGCTTAGGTTCGGGCGTGGGGCAGGACGACATATACAGTTAGGTATATGTACAAATTTACATGTTTATTACGTTCTGCTTGTTTGTTGTGATTGTGGTTCCCTCGCACACGCGTCACACACACACCCACACACATAAACACACGCGCCCACACCCACACACGCATTCGATAAAAAAGCATTATCGCGCATTATGTAACAACAACAACAACGAGTTACAGAAACCAATCAAATTAAAATCAAACTGATAGATGAAGCTAATGCAAGTAATGCAAAAATAGAATTATGCACTTTTGGGACGTCAAAAACTGCAAGACACATTTTTGGCTTTAGGGAAAAATTTCTTTTTTTTTTGTAGAAAAAAATAAATAATAATTACAAAAATTATTTGGCAAGAGGAAATATAGGCGAACTGTGCAGCGACGTGGCCAGAGGCTCAGCGTGTTTGTGTATGGATGTGTGTTGCGGTTATGAACCGAAAAGTTACCAGTTAGCAGATATGAGAGAAGGTTAGTAGTTATCAGTGCAATGGCTATGTTCTTGATTCAAATAAAATATTCCAAAAAGCTAAAGATGACGCTAGTTTTTGTCTGTTCACTAGTTAACATACTCAGCTTAAGGTTTGCCCAAGTTTCTTCAGTTTTATAGTTACTTTAGCATTATATAAGGTAATTTCAATATTTGGGAATTGGGAGCAAGAACATGGCCGTGTTTTTTGTAATGATTATTAAATTGAAATTAGTAAAACTGTTAAACAAACACACACACACACCCAGGCACACTGATCCGTCAGAACCCGGTAATAGCAGTTGGTAATTGGAAACGTCGCTACACAATTTCGTTTTGGGGTTTACAAGACGACTGTTTGCAACTGCTGTTTGTTTTGTACGTGTGCGTGTTTCGGTAGCTGTCGGAGGCTGTATATTGTGCGTGTGGTAGTTTTGGTATTTGTGGTAGCAGCAGTCGTCCAGCGAAATCTGAATACGAGCACCTACCTCGCGACGGCGTTCTTCTTCGCGTATCTGCTCGCGCCGCCTTTCCAGTTCCAGCATCATATCACGTTCCATTTCCGCTTTGGCAGTGTCGACTCGTCGGTTCACCTCCTGTTCGATTTCATCACGTCGCTTCTCAAGCTCCTCCTCGACACGCTTCTTAACTAGCATTTCGATGCGTTTGGCCGCTTGCTCTTCTATTGTTTTCTGCTCGGCTTCTTTTTGCCGACGCTGCCGTTCCATTTCGGCCAGTCGTTCCACCTGTAGTAAATTTTGCTGCAAGTAAATTTGTTTAGTACGCAATCCCAGTAATAAGCTAATCAGCAAGTAGTTTACTTCATCCAGTTTCTTAAAGCGGCTGCGCTTGTGTCGGCTGCGTTGCGTCTCATGATCCGAGTACTGTTGGCTATCACTACTTGATGAGGTGGAGCGTTTGCGGGACTTTGAGTGCGAGTGCCGGTGATAGTCTCGCTCTGTGTGTGAGTGCAGGTGCGTGTGCGTGTGCCTGTCGCTGCGGTGTCTGTCGCGCTCTCGCCGGCCGTGTTGGTTAATCTCTGTTGATTTGTCTCTATCCGTGCGACTGCTGCGTGTACAGCTGCTGCGCTCGTGGTCCCGATCCCTGTCGCGGTTGTGTGACTTACTTTTGCTGCGTTTCTTGTGTTTGCTTTTGTGATGACGACGTTTCACCGAGGGACTGCGCGAACGTGAACCCATTATTGTATATATATATATACTATATGCTATATATATATATATATATTAAATCAACAAAAAAATAGCCCTTTTTTACACAATTTATTGAATGCTTTGCTCAGTTTCTCACAACAAAATCAATCTACAGATGCCTTAAAAATAGTGTTGCACATCGTTAAAATGCCGTACTTCATCGACACCGCTTGCAGCACTAAAATTTTGGTATTTTTATGGACATCCGCAGCCGGTACGATTCTTATCCATCTTCAGTATAATTTCATGGAACTTATCTATCATCACTTGGTTGTCCTTAAAGCCAACACATTCCTTAGCCTCTTCTTTGGGCAGCCATTTAAATTCGGTGTGCTCCTCGGAGAGAACGGCCTCTTGGTTTGGATTTCGAAGCTCTGCTAGCCAGTAGATAACAACCTTGGGCTTACCTTTGACCTCATAATTTAGAGTAAGAGGCACATCACAATAGATGACCAAGTCTTTTTCATCGTAGCTTAATAACAAAATTAGTTATTATTGTGCTAATTTTTGTACTCTTACGCACTTACCCGGCTTCTTCCTTTGTTTCCCGCAAGGCTGTAGTGAAGTCATCCTCGTCGGGATCCACGTGTCCCTTTGGCGAGCTCCAGTGAAAATCACCATATGAAGCTCTTAACAGTAAATATTGAATTTCTCCACATAAGCGCCGAAAAATGACAAATCCAGCAGCTCTCTTGCCCATATTTTTCGTAACCAGTTGATAACTGAGTAGTGTTGCAGAGCGAGTAAATATAACGCTCTGAAGTTACCATCTTGCTATACACACTAACCATACAATGCATAGACTTGTCAAACGTCGGAATAATCGGATACCAATAAATCGTCAGCGACTGAGCTCCATGGGTGTCCGCGACCATTTTAGTGTGCCCAGACAAAGTAAGACTGCCGAGTATGGTTAGTGGTATAAATATGTTTCAGATTTTAAGATGATACAAATTATTAAACTAAAACAAATATTATTAATGCTTTAAATTTTAAATGCAATTTTTAGCCGTGCTGGCAATTCCCCGACCAACAGACTAAATAGCATAAACTGCACCAAAAAACGAATTTAAACCAATTAATTTGTACGCTTAACAACACTGTTGACTATTTTACACTGGACTTGCTGCGCACGTTGCCTTTATTAAATTAGTTACATAAAAATATTAATATTGTGAAAGAAATGTTTGCACTGCTGCGCCGTTTCGCGTGCGCATCCATCACAAACAGCAACAAGCCAATTCTGGTGCGCTGTTATGCCTCCTTCACGCCAAGGGATGTGCTGCGCGAGACGTCGGATGAGGCCGGTACGCTGCTCAGCCGTTTTGCCAAGCACATAGCCATAGAGCGCTACAAGTGTGAAGAGCACGTGCTGCCAACTACGGAGATACGCTACTCCGACTATTTTCCTATAACGGATGAACGATACTTTAGGCGGTCTGTAGAGAAGACGCCTGCCTCGCAGTTGCCAGCATTGATTATACACGCCTCCAGCTATCGACCTAATGCAGCGCCGCCTATGTATGCCATGGCATTAAACACGCTGGATGCGCATGCGGCAGCAATGCTGAAGCAGATGGACACAACTACTATGCTGGAGACACTATACTCATTTTTGTTCCTCATGCCAAACTGGCTAAAGCGCACGGATTTCTATCATGCGGCCATGCGACGTCTTGTAGAGGAAGTGCCTAGCAGCAAACAGCGGTTTATGCAAATCTGTTTCTACCTGGGCCTTCAGAAGCAGCAGCAGCAGAATGATTTGGAGACGCTGCTCGCCACACAGCTTGGAAATCATTTGGCCAGCTTGAGCCCTCTGGATCTGGCCATGATTAGCAATGCTGCCTACAAGACGTCTACTTTAGTGACAGGCGCTGTGCGTGAGGCTTATGAAGCCGCCCTAGTTCAAGCAATTTTAAATCTGCAGTTTGCTCCGGACAACGCCGCAGATGATGCGCTGCTTATTTGCTACATCAAGGCTTTGCGAATCCAGCGGGTGCAGGATGAACGCATCTGCCAGCACCTGCAGGGCATCTGTCTGGAGCCTGCGCAGCTATTGCAACTGCAGCCACGGGGCTTAGCCCATATATTTGCGTACTTTGGAGAGATGCAATGGGATCAAGCGGAATGCATGCATGCACTTGTAGACCGTTTCTTGCATTTTAAGCCCAGTGAACTTCGGCCCAAGGACCTGGCCACATTCCTGTGGAGCTGTGCACAGCTTAATTGCCCGTTAACTACCGCACAGCTTAGGCAACTGGAGATGATTGCCTTGCGCAAATTAGATCATGGCGAATATGATTACTTTGCCGACCAATTGGTTGACACTTGCCTCTCCCTGTGCATCATGGGCCACCAATCAAAGGTGCTCTTTAGTGCGGCAGAAGAACTAAAGGCCGTACAACGCCAACGTCAGCGAGCACAACCCAAAGTAGACAGCCGGTTGACTGTACTGCGATCCGCTGTGTCCATCGAGCAGCCCAGTTGGACGGATGTCAAAAGGGAGCAGGTCTTTAAGGAGCTAGCGCGTGCTCCTGGCTATTTGCTAAAGCAGCGCGACGATTTGACAGCTTATGCCACGCAGCTGGCTGCTGATGCCGACGTGGAAGGTGTGGACCTGGTATGCCCCATTGCTGGTATCAATTTGCCCAGCCTGCGCGTCCAGACACTTGGCGAGCAGGCATGTATTTATTACATAGAGCTGCTGACGCCGCAACAGACGCTGAGATTCAGTCGAACGGCGACTTCTTTGTTGAGGTTAAAAAGACGACTCCTGGAATCGCTGGGCCAGCGCGTTGTATTGGTGAGTATTGCATTTAAAGCTAGAGCTTCTTATACCAACTGACGTATTCCGAACTTTGCAGCTTCATTCTGGTGACATGGCGTCCAATGCGCAGGCGCTGCATCAGCTTTTGGAGCAAACGACAGTCGCCAAGAAGGAGGCTGACCAGGCGGTGCAGGGAAATTGAAACGTGTGATATAGAGTCTACATGATTAGCTTTAATTAACAAGTTTTTAATGTAATTAATTTAGTAAAAATAACACTAAACGTAATGTTCAACATTTTATATATAATACAAGGGGGCAAGTTTATTCTTCGGAAAATCCACGCTCATCTGATCGACTTGATCTTTGCTTTAAGCACAATATAGGCACCCAGCCGGAAAAGAAACATCATTGCGCACAGTGCTATTATATCTGTCCAGAACTTATCGCCAGACATAGTAATCTCCTCCAGAAACTTCTTTGGATATCTGCAACACAAAAGAGCATTAATAAATCAGTTTCGAGATTCATAAATTTAGCTGATTACCTATAGTGGCAGTAGGGCGCCTCGTTGCACTCCAAAACGCCGCGGTCCAGTCCATAGATGGCAGCTATGAAGCCCTCAAGGCCGTACCGCAAATGGGATATGTGACTGCCCCACTTCAGGTAGCTGGGCAGATCGCGCAGTGTGACGCCAAAGCCGGCAAACATCATCATGGGTATTGTCAGCACTGGAGCCAGGAATGTGCCATTGACCACATCGAACCAAGCGCCAATCATAAGGCCAATGCTTTGGCCCACAAACACAATTAACAGACTGATCGAAAAGAACATCCAGAAGCGTACCCATTCCAAAGGCTGATAGCTCCACAAATAAATAATGACCGAAAACAGGAAAGTACTCACAAACTGCGAGGCAAATGAAATTTTTCTTAAATGGAGTTTTTGCTTAAATTAAGTGTGGAACCTACCGTTATAGGCAGGTCAATAAGCGTCATGGCAAAGTAGTACGCCTTGAGAGAGTACCAGCGATTAAAGTGCTCCTTGATTAAAATCGTCATCTCAATGGGGACTGAAATGGAAAGCGATACATATGTGATATTGTGAAATATATAGAATTTTAATAGGAAATTCTTTGTCTTATTAACAAGACTACCCCATGTCTTTTTATGGATATGAGTGAGCAATTCGGACTTGGCTACAGATTAATATTTAGTCCAGCTCTCTAACTTGTCTTGAGTACGAATCATTTTTAAGGACTTCCGAACAACCCGACTTGGAGACTCGTATAACGAAAAGGATGTCAAATTACACTTACATGTTAGGACCGTCAACATCATGGTGGTCATCGAATGATGCATCAATATGGCAAACAGTAGATTATAATTGTCCAAAACTCGTGAGCCCTCTCTGCCGGCACGATCGTACATGGCGCCGTAGAGTACGGCCACAGCGATGTTGACTCCTATGCGAAGATGTGTCATTGTCGTATCTCGACGTGATTTGATATAACCGCGTCGCAGCAGCACAGAGCACTGATTCGTAAAGCTGGTGTTCTCCAGGGAAACATTTTTGGAGCGCTTTGGTATAGGGTATTTGTGCATGAGCGCCTCAGAGCGCAGCACGGCGCCCGGATTGTTGAACCAGGTCAGACAGCTGCCATTCTCCGTGGCACTCTTGAGCGTATCGATCTTGTCGAAGCCGTACTCGCCACAGGCCAACTCAATAACTGTCGAAAGTAGGGAAGGTAAATTGTTACCTGCAATAAGAATTAGTCTCATGCGGCACTCACTGTAATCAGCTGGATTGTGGTACATGGGGCACGGCAGGTCCACCGATTGCAGGAATGGCACTAGCTTCTGAGTGCCGCCTTGGTAGACGCAATTGCCCGCGGAGAGCACATAGACCTGATCGAATATTTGGAACAACTTGGCAGTGGGCTGATGTATGGTACAAATGATAGTGCGACCCTGGGTTGTCAGTCGCTTCAACAACTCCAAGACTTTGGTGCAGGAACTGCTGTCCAAGCCGCTGTAGATACAGAGAAGAGATTAAAAGTGGCCCAACAGTTTCAAGAGGCTTAGACACTTACGTCGTCGGCTCGTCCAGAAACATCACAGTGGGATTATTAATCAATTCCATTGCAATGGATAGCCTCTTCCTCTGACCACCGGACAGGCGCAAGGTCAGCGTCTGGTCGTGATCATAAAGACCGAGCAGCAACAGAATATCTTCAATCTAAAAGGAAGCATGCCAATCTTAGGCGTAACCCACTTGGAAATTCTATATCTGTAAACTCACTCTGCTTTCCTTCTCTTCGTAGCTGACATTTTCACCCAACTTGAGGTCGGCGGCGATGTGCA